AGTAGCTTGATCAGAAATACGATGATAAATGTAATCTTTTAAAGATGGCTTCTCTTCTTCGATGGTAATAGTAAAGAAGATCGGGTCGCGGCACCAAATATTAGAGGTTCACTTTATTCGAAGCGATACACCATCTCGCAAGCGAGAGGAGAGGGCAACATATAGGAGAGAATAAAGCATCAAGGAATTCGACTCGAATAAGCACGTATCGCAAAGAACGAAGTGAGTCAAGATATGTAAACATATGACTGTAACACTAGTCAAGACTAACATTTTCGGAAAGTTTCGTTGAAATCGGATGAGAAAATATCAAAGTTCGTTTCTGAGGAGGAGGGGGCCCCCTTAATTAAAGTAGTCCTGTATAACTTGCTAGCAGATCTATGAGAAATCAAACAGTGAATCTAATAAAACAACCCACGCTCTGAAGCTGCGTCATACAGTTGCATGATCCGAAACAGTCATACTTGTAAATGCGTAGGATATAAATATATAATGATAAAATATTAAACGAAGGAGTTGTCCTTTGTGAAATCAAGTATAAGAAATGCTCTACTATAAAAAAGAAAAAATCTTTTTGATATTGTTTCTTCTTTCCATTAATAACATCTGCGACTATTCATCATAGATAATGAATGTCTCAGCTGGTCTATTATGTAAAAAAAGAAAAATAAATCTAAGCACACGACAAATGATACGAATCATTTTCAACGATGGCATCTAAATCAACACATTTCGTTAGTTATAAACAACGTCATTGTACGGATATATTCTGTCTTATTTTATTCATTATTTATATTTTTATTTATGGATTTATATCTTTATTAGCAATAAATCAAGGTAATCCAACAAGTATATTTCAAGCAAGTGATTCATTAGGTAATATATGTGGACAAAATGAATTTGAATCTAAACCATATCAACTTTATTTTGATATAAGTAAATGTTTAAGTAATAGTGGCCTTGAATTTCTTTGTCCAACAACAAAATTATGTGTTAGTTCATGTCCAAAATATTATTCACATTATCAATCATTACAAACAATGGAAAAAACTAGTTATTTATTAAAAAATTATACACGTCAACAACTTATATGTATGTATGGTTTTAATCCAATCAATGATAATCGTACAATTATTGAATTAGTTCAAAATGGACTTTGTGCACCATATACAATAATATCAGAACCATTTCTTGGTCGATGTTTACCATCAGTTTTTATAAATTTATTTGAATATGAAAATCATCAAACATTACAAACAAATACATCAATTTCACAAACAAATATATCAGTTGAACAAATAAATACTCATATGTTCGGTATTGATAGTATATCTGATGTTGGTCGAGTAATATTGGCTGATCTTGATCAAATTAAAGAAAGTTTAGCATTATTTATTCTTATAGCCTGCATACTTACTTTGCTTTATATGTTTGCTATAAAACAATTAACTGGTTTAATTGTTACTCTAACAATTATTTTATTTCTTATAATATTATTTATGTGCAGTTCATTTTGTTGGTATACAATTTATACTGGACGAGATCTTGTTTATGAATATAGTACAGTTGCAAGAATCGTTAATGATTTTATTAAATTACGAACAATTTATATAATATTTGGTTGTATAACAACATTTTTATTTTTTCTTAGTCTATTTGTTATATGTACTTTATTTGATCGTATAAAATTGAGTATTATATTAATAGATCAAGGAACAAAAGCTGTTTTTTCTGTGTTAAGTACAATTCTTTGGTCACCATTAATAATTATAATATTTTGTCTTTTAATATTATTTATTATTTATATTGAAATGTGTTTATCAACTGTTGGTAAACCAATATTTCGTTTAATTGATAATAATCAAACAATATCTTGTTTACCAAATATAAATTCAACACAATGTATATTTCAACAAGAATATGGTTATAATTCATTAATATTAAATAATACAGATCTTATAACACGTAGTATTATTGAATTTCTTGTTGATAATAAACAATATCTTAAATGGTTTAATTTATTTACTTTTATATGGTTTAGTGCATTTTTATTTGCATTTGAAGAAATTGTTTTAGCTGGAGTTTTTTCAAATTATTATTGGTCAAAAGAACATTTAACAATATCATATCCACTTATTTATTCAATATGTATTATTATACGATATCATTTAGGTTCAATTGCATTTGGTTCATTACTTATAGCAACATTAAGATTTATACGTATTATACTTGATTATATAAATCAAAAATGTTCAAATATTCAACGAAATATTATCATAGAATTTATTGCTAAATGTTTTTCATGTTTATTATGGTTATTTGAAAAATTTCTTAAATTTCTTAATAAAAATTCATATATATTAATTGCATCACATGGTTATTCATTTTGTAAAGCAACACGTAAAGCATTTTTTTATATAATTAATAATTGTCTTCGATATGCAATTCTTATTTATTTAACTGAATGGATATTATTTTGTGGTATAATTACAATATGTACTTTTAATGCTTATTTATTTTATCAATATCTTCAATGGTTTGATGAATTTGATCAACTTATACTTCGTTGGATACCAATTGTTATTATTCTATTAATTACTTATCTTATTACAAGTCTTTTTTTTAGTGTTTATGATATGGCAATAAAAACATTATTTATATGTTTTCTTCAAGATTTAGATGAAAATGATGGTTCTATTCAACATCCATATGTCATGAATAATGAACTTTTATGTTTAGTACATAAAACAAACATTATTGAAAAAAAATGAAAACAAACAGCAAACAAACACACACACACACACACATATCTATGAATAATTGTGTTTTGTTTTTTTTTGTTGTTGTAAATTTATTAAAGAGTATTAAGAAGAAACGTCAGCTAAAACAGGTTTTAATCGTAAATTAATTTTGACTTGTTTTGTGACTCGTCGTATAACAGGTAAATAAACCATACAAGGAACAAATGTATGTGCAAATTTTGGATCTTCACTTTCAAGTAAAAATGGTTGTAAACCACCATTAGTTTCTGTTAATGAATTTATTCGTTTATTTGAATCTGTTGATGATTGACTTAAACTTCTTTTACGTTTTAATTGTTCAATATTACCATCAGATTCATCTTCACTCTCTTGTTGTTGTTGTTGTTGTTGTTGTTCAATTTTATTTACTGATTGATTTCCAAGAGTTGTTGCTAAAGATAAAAATGGATTTTGTACAGATTGTTCATTCATTGTTGTAGCTGCTTTCATAAATTGTATTAATGTTTTATAAGTTGGATCAGATGTATCATTATGTATTGTTTGCATATGAAAAAAATATAAATATTTTGTTGAAAAATCTTTTTTACATATAGAACAATATGTATCTGGATTTTCAATATTTGATTCATTGATATCATTTAATTCAGGCGATGTACGTTCTAAAACAAAAAAAATGAAAATTGTTAGTAAAAGACTTTTACTCATATATATATCATAGTCTATAATGCAAATAGAACTTTCAAAACAAAAAAATCCAAAATTTAGTTTTCTAATATTGAGTAATGAACATATCTTATACATTTCTTAATTGTCTAACATGATCTGCATTTCTTTTAGATTGTGTTCAAAAAAAAAAACTAGAGATATGATTAGATATAATATGAAAGTTAAATCTTTCATTTCATAAGATACTCTCTATGTGCTCTGATATAAACTTGAACTTAACATTTCATAGCAGATGTCCAAACAGGCCACGTTTTTTAGGCCTACACGGCCTGTCAAGTTTTTCAAGCGAGTACAATAATAATGACAGACTACAAAACCAGAGGTCCAAACATTGCTTGAACCTCTGACTTGCACTAGTCTGAAAACCATGGGTCATACCTATGGCAGGCGGGTCAAGATCAGTTTGAGTAATAGCCTTAGTGGCCTGTTTGGACCTCGGGTTTCTAGTCTGTAATCATTATTGTACTCGCTCGAAAAATTTGACAGGTCGTGCAGACCTAAAAAACGTACCCTGTTTGAACCTCAGTTTTATATTGAAAATAAAAACTTTTTTGATTATATTCAATATCATACCAGTATCATTCTCTATTAGTTCATCTTGATGATTTTCTATTGTTGGTGATTTAATTACATCTGTTGATAATGTTTGTTGTAAACTATTTGTTGATATTATAGTTGATGGTATATTATCAATATTTCCATTTGAATTATTATTTGTTCCATTAATTATTCCATGTACTTTAGCTAAATAAAGTCAAAAAAAAACAATTTTTAATTATAATTAAATTAAATTTGTTTTTCTTTTACCTTTATGTGTTTTAAGAAAATATTTATTACAAACTTGTTTATTACATATTTCACAAACAACACGATCAGCCATTTTTGCACAAAAATATGAATCATGAAGAATACCATATGATGTTTGTGATGTTTGACCAGTAACAAGTTTATGTGCAAGTGGACTAGTTGTATCAACATATGGTTGTAAAAATCCTAAATTATTTGATGGTGATATTGGTAATGTTGGTGTTGTTGATTGTTTTATATTTGATTTAGAATTATTATTATTATTATTATTATTATTATCATTATTTAAATTTAAATTTAGATTTTTTTTTTTATTTGTTTCATTTGAATGAAATGTATTCATATGCATACGTAAAAGAGCTTTATTTCGAAATTCTTGTTGACATACATTACAACGACGAATAGTTCGTTGTGAAGAAATTTTTGTTGTATCAATTTTTGGTAAATTATTTAATGGTGGTGATGATGTTATTGTAGGAAAAATTGGTTTAATATCTGTTGTAGTTGTTGATGGAAGATAAAATGGATTTATTAAAAGCATATTTGAAGTATTAGATGGTACTAAAAAAAAACAAAAAAAATAATTCAAACGAATCAATTCGATTATGTTTTTTTTTTTACCTTGCATAGGTCGACTAGTATTATTATTTTTGACCGGGCTTTCATTAGCACTTTTTTGTAATGATTTTATATAATCTGTATAGACACCATGACATTCACCCTTGTGTTTCTATTAAAAAAAAAGAACTTAAATTTAATCCTTTACACATCTCAACTAACGAATTGTTTATTTTCTCTTTTCTCCAATAAACATTGGTATGCATGTTGAAATTCATTCGTTCGTTCGTGGATAAATAAGCTTATTAAAAGTCAGATAAGCTCTCTTTCTCTCTCTGTTCTAACAATCTTTTGAAGATGTTCACTATGTTCTGTCTCTTTCTCTCTTCAATATTTACATCGAATAAGAAGAAAAAAAAAAAAGATTCATCTAAAATTAAACATCACATCTTTTTGAACAAAAGAAGTAATCTCAACAAACAGTAGTTTGAACGAAAGTAAAGCAATCTATTAGTGTGCGTGCTTGACAATGTTTTGAATATTTAAACTAGAAGTCCTTCTTCTCAGGCAATGTAAACAATGAACGTGACTTAACTTCAACTTTTTTTTTTTTTTTTTGATTACTTACACGAAGATAATATTTATTACAAAAACGTTTTTGACAAATCTATAGACAGAAAAAGATTTTAAAAGAAAAGAATTTTTTTTTTCTACAAACTTCACAATAATCTTCACTTAATTTTTGATTAACAATTAATGGTAATGGTTGTTCATTGGATAGATTTGGTGATGATGGTGATAATATTTGATTATTATTATTATTTGATTCTATTGATAATGGAGATATAAGATTAAGTCCACCATGTTTTTTTGCATAATGTGTTTTAAGAAAATATTTATTACAAAATGAACGTTCACATAAACTACAATAAGCTTCTTGTTGTTTTGTTGGTGAATATTGTTGTTGTTCAAGATCATCAGATGGTGATGATTGACCATTGGTTAAATCTAAAAATAATTTTGAAAATAAAATTTTTTTGTTTTTGTATTAAATTTTACCAGTCGGAATTCCTTCATCATCATTAGTAAGTCTAGAAAAACAAAAATAAATAACTTTTTTTTGTTTTAATTAATTAATTAATTAATTAATTTTTTTTTTCAAAATTTACCGATTTGGTTTAATTTGTTTACGTTTATTTGATGATTTATATAAATCATCATTACGTTTAATAATTGTTTCATTATTCGTTTTTGTTATTGACAAATCATTGATTTCATCTTCTTTTATTATTGAATTATTATCACCAATCATAGTTGATTCTGCTTTCAATATATGCTCGTCTTGAATGATCATCATTTGAGACGATGCATCAGACACACATATACAGGAAAAAGAAAAAACAAGACCGAAAGAGAGAGAGAGAAGAAAAAAAATCTAAATAAAGAGAGAGAGAAAAAATATATATGTACAATAGAAAATGGAGAGAGAGAGAAAGAAAGAAGATTTATTAGTTTTGTTCTTTATGAGAACAACTAACGTAGCAGAAGCAAACGAGATGCCCATCTTCTTTTTTTTTTTTTTTTTTTCTTTCAAAATCAAGCAACCCCCGTTGGCTCATCATCATTATCGTCAAGCAGGCACGCGTCGTACTAGCCCATATTTTCAATACATGTGTACACATATATATATATATATAGATGTACATATGAGAAAAGAAAGATAGAATATGCACGTATATCGTTTGGGCTTTGCTTGCCCGATTGAGAATGAGAGAACGGAAGCGACACACGGATCTAATTGAAAAATGAGGAAGAAGATGATCAATATCTTAGTAGAAAAGAACATCTGGTGTGTTCTTTTAGTATTAATCTAAAGAAGAAAAAAAAATAAAAGATCAAAAGGTCAAATTCTTGAAATTTATCAGAAAAACCAATGAAAGAAATTAGTATGATATACTAGATATATATATATATATGAATAACAAATAGCAACAAAAAAAAAAAACGAAGAATAAGAATAATATTACTAATATACGATATACAAGTTATTCCATTCTTTTTATACCAATAGGAAAAATTTTCTCTAACTGAATATAAAAAAACAAACAATTCGTCTTGTAGAGAAAAAAAAACTATGACGATAAGACCAAGGCAAAGATTTGTTTGTATTGATTCAATTACAAAAAAAATAAAATAAAAATAAAAACAAAATTATTTAGTAATTATAGAATTTCTTATCTATCTTAAGCAGATGTAATGAATCAGATAATTTAAGTGAAAACAAATTTCTCTCGTTTTTTTTTTTTTGCTTTGTTATTCTTAGCAAGGAAAAGTAAATGAGAAATGAGACTGATCAAATATCTTGATTTTCTCTAGAGAAAATAATATTCCAATAGACTCATATCCTTTGCTCGAGTTTTTCTTTTCTGTCTATATTCATAGACGTATTGACATATCATTTTTTTTTTCTTATTCTTAAAATATCGTTCCATACGATTTGGATCATGCTGTGTGATGCAACAATGAATAAGATCGAAGAAAAAGCAATATACACATTGCAGATGAAAAAAAAAAAAATTCTCTCTCTCTATGTATATATACGGATAAGACCAACATACTACCACAGCATGTCTCATCGGATGATACAAATAATAAATCTTAGAAAACAAGCATCCTGACGGGAAAAAAGCACTCCAAAATGAAAACATAACAGACAGATAGACAGAAGAACAAGAAGAAGAAGAAGCCTAGCTTGATGTTTATTCAAGTCAGTCAGGCGAGCTGATGATGGACAACGTTCGATGATTCTTCTTCTTCGTTCTTTATTTTTTTGCTGATATGCCATTGACTTTTAACGGTTCACCTCTTGCTGCTCGAGGTGATTAGGACAATATGATAGCGGAAAGAAAGAAAGAAAAGTTCTGAAAAATATTGATGAGATGAACGATATTTATGAAGCTAAAAAAATGTAAAAAAAAAAAAAAAGAGATAACAGACACGCGTCTGCTACACATCGGTGAATTTCTTTTAAATTGATCTAAAACACACTACTCCAGATGTATATATGAACAAATTACTCTTCAGACTTATGTTCATTTTGAGAAAAAAAAAAAAGAAAATACGAATGTTCATTTAAATCGATCAACAATTTTCAATTCATTATACATATACATATACATATACTTTCAATCGATCTCTCTCAAAATAATAAGCATAATCAGAAGACTCATTTACTGTCTGGCGGCACCAATAGAACGAACGTTTCAATTTCCGTTTCTTGTTGTTTGCAATCGATCAATAGACTGTGTTATATATATATATATGTGTGTGTGTGTGTACTGAATCGATTCATAACGTTTGTAATAAAATAACAGCAACGCCCCTTTTATATATTTTCTTTTCATACAAAAGAAAATGATACACTTTGAAGTTTTGAACATTATTAAAAGATTCTTTTTTTTTTTTTTTTTGTTTTTTTTTGTTCTTTCTTTTTTATAAGAATATCGATAAGAAACGACATATATGTGAAGAAAAATACAACAACACTTGAAAATGAAAAGTGTTATATACACACTCACTTTATCCTATGTGACAGTAACATTAACTATGACAAACAAATGACAACATACATATATCGATCATGTCAGCTACATAGAACACTTGACTTTCATTAGATTGTCGCCGTGGTCAAAATCATTTTGGCACCATACTTATTCTCATTGATTATATACATAAGAGCAAAAGATTACATATATACTTTTTATGTTGTATGTCAATTCTGCTTTTGAATAAAAAAACGAAAAACGAAAGAGAGAGAGAGAGAGAGAAAAAAAAAAGACGATTATCGTCTACAAAATCGATAAAATTACTCTCTCTTTTTTGTGCATAGAATAGTAAAAGAGCACGATTCAATTTTCGATTTCTTTTTCTTTTCATCTTCGTTTTTTTTTTTCGTATTTCAAAATAAACACCATTTGGTTTCTCATTTTTTTTTTTACTTGCACACACACCTGTGTGTGTATGTCAACGAACGATATCGCATCTCGTGTTAGTTATTATTAATTTCTTTTCTTCTTTTTTTTTTTTTTTTCGTTAGTTTCTCTTCTTTTTTGTACACATCCTAATGCGAGAAAGAAAGAAATCGAAATTCAATAGTAAAAATCAAATAGTTATATATTTCTAAGGCATACATATCTTCGTATAGTTTTATAATTGTAATGTTTATTTATTCTTATATATTTCAATCAACATTTGTACTTGTTTTATAATAGAAAAACGAAGAAAAAAAAGAAAAATGAAAAATGTTATATGTTTTATTGAAGCAATATTTGAAAAAAAAAAAAAGAAAAAGTTCTGATGACAACAAGTGCCATTTTATTCGAGTGACACAAATATCGACGATTACCAGAGAACAACTTTGACATTTTCTAGGTGAGAAAGAGAACGGCCTTTAATGGTGAATTTTACTTTCAAAAACGATAGTTGAATAACATAATATACTTCAATAATATCGATTTTTAATCGTTAACGAATATGATTAATTGAAAGAAAAAAAACAAAAATGGCCTTTGTCGCTTGAAAGATTATTTGAAAATTATAAATGTACAGTCAATAAATACTGTATTGTATCCTTTGATAGCATTTAGAAAATCGATATAAAGTGTCATTATATTGATTGTTAAAATGTATGAAACTATGATCAGAGTTTATGCAAGAAAGTAATACAAAAAAAACAGAATAAGATGTTTGTTGAAATTTTGAAAATCGAAATAAAATCTTTGATAAAGTTATTTATCTTTTTCAAGAAGTAATGGATATCTAATTGACTGATTCATTTGATAAAATTTTATCTAGGGAGTAATAGTCTTACTCATTTTTTTACACTTTATCTTCGGAACATATTTGTCATGGTTTGTTATCTGTTCGTCTATATAAAGACAGGCTTATATGAATAGATTTCTATATAATTTTCGTAAATTAAAAAAAAAAACAAATATTAACTATGATTCGTCTTTCATGTGGTGTTCAATGTACACGTACAATTTTGTTCATATTGAATATTTTATTTTTTATTTTTGGTTTTACATTATTGGGTTTTGGTATATATGTTAAAGTAAGCAAACCACTTCATATTGCATTATCAGAACATATTAATACAAAAATAATTGGAGGAAGTGCACTTGAATGGATAGGTGTAATTATGATTATTGTTGCGGTTTTTACTATATTATTATCTGCATTTGGTTGTTTGGGTATGTAATATAATGATAGATTGATAAGAATTATAATTTATGTGTGCTTTTTTTTTTAATATTTAAGGTGCTTTATTTAAAAATCGAATCTTTTTATATTTATATGCTGTAATTCTTAGTCTAGTTATTATCACTGAATTAGCAGCATTGATTATTACATTGACTTATCGTGTTCGTATTCGTGATAGTTATTATCATGGTTTTCAACAATTATTTATTGAAATCTACAGTAATAATCATACAGATCTTAAATATGTTATAGAAGATATAGAACGTGAATTTAAATGTTGTGGTATTGATAATGTTACAGATTATTATGAACATAATTATACAGTTCCTGTCACTTGTTATCAAGATGAAGATTTTCATAAATCTATTTTTGATCAAGGTTGTGCTAATGCTATTATTCAATGGTTATGGCATCAATTTCCAATCATTGGAAGTGTATTAGGTGGAATTTTATTGATTGAAATATTTGGTATTATTTCATCTATTGCACTTGGTACTGCTATTTCTCATTCATCATATAGTAAAATATATGAATGATTTATTGTAATATAATTTCAATAATAATTTTTCATATATGAATACTTGTAACAATTATTTCTTATTTTATTTTTTAAATAAATATTAAAAAAAAAAAATCTTCTATATTGAATTCATTATTGAAAATTTGAAAGACATCATTACATATAAATAACAATATTTATCTTACCAAGACGGTAAATATTATATCAATTTATGTGATATTTTTATTTATTATAATAAAGATTAAAAAGCTTTTGAAGTATTTGATTTCGAAAAAGAAAAAAAAAAAAAGTAAAAGAGAAAAAAACATTACTAACCTACTTTGATTACATTTACATAAAATTACACAAGTGCATAATTCAATTGTGATTTTTTTTTTCATCATCCATTTTCTGAAGTTTTTTTTATTTATTGCATTTATTAGGAAAGAAAAAAAAAATCGACTATAATACAAAAACTGAAACATTCAATAGAATATAAATTAATGCAAAAATTTCTTCTCTATTATAATTTAATAGTGTGTTTAATCGAA